GGGTTTCCCTTCATATTTTATGAAAACTATAGAAGCAAGTCTATCACACTAGGAACAGTGATGGGAATGTAGATGGGTTTCCCTTCATATTTTATAAAAACTATAGAAGCAAGTCTATCACACTAGGAACAGTGATGGGAATGTAGATGGGTTTCCCTTCATATTTTATAAAATTTAACCAATGTTATGCGGGTTAATGTGCTGGACTGCAAAGTCGGTTTGAACCACAAGGTCAGTGGTTCAAGTTTACCAGCCGCTCCTCAGAAACCCTATAGAGGTCATTATGAGTCGGAAACGACGCGACGACACTTAACAACAACAACATACTTTCATTATGAGGAGTTGGGGGGTGAGGTAGGAAAACCCTGTAAAATTTGCCACTTCAAGTATATGTAATTCCGTATTTGTGTTGATATAAATTTAAGCCACGATCATCTTAGATACTACAACAAATATGAGTAATGAATGCCTAGAAGATTAAGTAGTTTGTCTAACTAACAACCAAAGACTAATTAGGATTCCCAAACACTACCTTCTTACAAGGTATTAAAGTGTGCATATGTGTTCAAGGAGTAGATTCTCTATTAAACCCAGGTAAGAGAGTATGCGTAGGAAGAATACATAAAGTAGAAGAAAAATCTATCAATGAGTGCAAGGAACTGTTCTCAGAGATTTCTTTTGGGTATGTCCTTGCCTGTATGAATAGTCTGTTGGCACTTTATGCATAGCAAGTAATGGGAGAGGAGGGTTTGTTAACTATAAATTATAGAATACATCCCTTGTCCTTCCAATCCCCGCTCTGGGTTTAATAACGAATGAGTCACACTTACACGTCACATGCGGAGCAGTGGTGCGCACGATCCGGTTTAATCACCTGACATCTTTCACAGTATCTGATAGCTACATTCAAGGATTAAAAGGAAGTTGTTCAAGTATGAATCAGCATAACAATCTTCACTATAACTTGCTTTTCATTTCTTTTATAAACAACTCTGGAAACTGACAACAAATCATTTTTAAGTAGTACCAAAATGTACTGGAGAGAGTTTCAAATCAAAATGTCAAGAGAGGAAAGATCCTCAGAAATGCAGCTCCCTCCAACACTTTTCAAATGAAAGAGCGGAGTCCAAGCAAACAAATGATCTTAAATACATTTCTTTTCCTTGTCGTTTGCTTTTCCTCCTTCTAAGTTAACATGTTCCTGAATAGGTATATTTCTTTATCATCCAGGCATCACTCACAATATTTACAGTCAAGCCAGACTTTCCAAATGATGGTTTGCTTAGAATAATACTTGAAAGTTTTAGTTTAGAAGGATGAGTTATTATTGCTTGTTTTTTTTTGTTTTTTAAAGAAAACAAAGAGTATGCAGGGAAGAGACTCTTACATTAAGGTGAGTCACTTAAGAACATCTCAGACTACCTATATAGAGACCTACAGGGAGGCAATATCGAGAAACAATAGCTTCCACATTTTGATATTTTTGTTTAATAATAAATATTTTTATGATTCTGTAGCAATAGTTTCTGATCAACCCTCATATTTACATACCTGTATCTGAAATAACCTAAAAGATGCATGAGGCAGGAAAATTTTGTTTCTGCAGATATTATCTGTGGCAATCATAGTACCCATTCAATAATAAAACCATACAACTATAGCATGGCAGAAATGCATATATTTAGAAAACCATATGTAAAAAGGGAAAGCGTCAGACTGCAGCCCTTACTCCTTGAAGCTGACGTGGTATAGATAGGTAAGTCCCTTGCTGCTCTTCTCAAAATTTCTTGTTGTCTTTCTTGGCTGAATTCCTTTTCATAACGTTCCTTTTCAGAATTAGATAAGTAGAACTATAAAAACAGAGAGAACTATCAATTTTTCATCCCATGCAGCTATTACCACTACAATCAGAAAAAATTTTACCCAAAACAGAAAACAAAAATATTTTGTTTTATGATAGCAAACTTAAGACCATCAACTAAATATTTTTGTATATTTGTTTTACTTCACAATAAGATTAAATTCCTCCATCGAAAAAGCCTACATATACTAGCTATTATGGAAATTTTTGGCATTGGAAGGCTACTGCCAAGAGATGATTGATGTTGACAGGATGTCCAAAGATTCATGTGCTTCTGGGTAACAGGATAAACCCCAAGCAGGGATCCCACTATTTTTCCGGTCAAATGTTTCCCTGACTCATTCTTCTTTTAAATCTTATTTTGTTGCTGTCCTTGAAAATGCACAAGGCAAAACGGACACCAGTTCATCAGTTTTCTCCAGGTACAATTCAGTGACAGTAAGGACATTCTTCGAGTTGTGCAAGTGTCCTCCCCCATGAACACCAACCCACTGTCCCCGAGGGTGTCTATGGAATCTCTGGAGTTACTGTTGTCACTTTGATCCCACATAGATAAGGTCCTAAGAGCATACGATGCTCAAGGCAGGTAGTTTTTACTTGTTTAGCTAGACTTCTCAAGACAAGTTTGGTTTTGATAAGACTTCAGGGAATATTACTGGTTTATGTTTTCAAGATGATCTCCGGACAATAGTTGCGGGATTATGCTAGCTTCCATGGCTCTGGAGAAGTCCAGAGTCTATGAGAATTTGAAATTCTTCCACAGGTCATTCTTTACTACTTGGTTTTAACTCTCACCATAACTGATAGATAGAATTGCTGCTTCCAGAATTATCGAGGATAGTCAAGGCAAGCGTAGTCTCCTTTTTCAGGGAGGGATTTCTTCTTGGAGTCATTTTCAGTTTCATTTCTTAGTGTGCGTTCCCACCAGATGGCCAGCTTCTGCTCCTTCTCTGGAACTTTCTCTATGAAACCACTCATGCAGCTGCTGCCTTTCCACGCCGCCCCAGCAGTCCACGGACTCTCAAGTGTTCTGCCTGAATCCATGTGACATCATGTCTTCATTCCGCAGATTTTTTTTTTAACCTAAGAGTAGTTTGAGATTTGTTCTTGATCATGTTCTTCAATATTTATTACTGATTAAATTCTGCTTGAGAAGGCCTAAGGATTCATCAATGGAATGTTATTTTGCCCATTTGGGGAGTTCTTTGGCCCATCTAACTTAACTATGCAAACTTCACATAGTTGTGTTACTTTGTTCTCAGTAACAGTACTAGTTTAATAACACTCTGGTACAAACAAGGTGACAGCCTGGCCCAGAAGACGGAGTCTGGAGTTGGCACCAAGAGGTTTATGGGATTTTTCGATTGCATAGTTACTGACAGAGCTGATACGAAGAGCAGGTCATCCGTGCACTGCTGACACCAAGTGTTTTCAGCCCAGCGGTATAGTGTTAACCTGGCTCAATGCTTCTGCTTGTTACAGGCTCTTCCTCTCACCTGTCCCAAAGACCACACTTCAGTAAGGGAAGTCTAGCTATTTGTACTACCTGGCTTACAGCATGGCTCCCCCAATCAGATTCTGATGGTACAAGAAATCCCCAATTACTTAGAAAGGATACACAGCAACGAGGGCAGATGAAGAGGGCAGAAGGAACTGGACACTACACTGTTTTTGAGTCGGGGCAGACAGCAGAGGTTGAGTGACCTAGCAGGTAACGTAGCAGAGGCAGAGATTTTCAGTTCCGACAAAGCCACATCATCTGGAATACTTTCAGAGGTTTAAATACTTTCCTAAATTGAAAAATGGGCCATCCTATTGTACAAGACTTCTAACCCGTCAGAAAGCTCTTCTTCACTGAACACAGGAACCCATCTCTGCAACTGTTTTTGGCAGAGAAGAAAACTCACACAGTATGATGTGGAGTTAGGGCTTTTTCAGTTTAGACATTAAGAAATGGATGGTAATTTGCAGTATAACTTTAGAGGTGTTGACAGATCATCGAATGGTCTGAAGAATACATCAAGAAACACTTAGTTTGCCTTCTTGGTTTACTCTACCCCTTGAAACAAAAGCACCCAACAGAAAAAATGCAAAGATGATTTGGCACAATCGACTATTGCTGAATTTACAAGTAACAAGAGATTCAGCCATCCATCTCCACTTGAAGACATTGACCCAAACAAACTGCATGTATATATATGTTCCCCCAAAGACACACTCTAGAATGTTTCCAGCAGTCCTATGCATAATAGGACTAAACTGAAGACTACCCAAGCACCCAAGTCACCCAAGGTGACCAGGTAATTAAGCAACATGGATGAAGCTCAAAAACAGAATGTTCATGAAAGGCAGACACACAAACATTTGTACATATGACCCCATTTACAATCAGGCAGATCTGTGCTGCTAGGAGGCAGGACACAGTTTCTTATGAGTGGAGTAAACTGAAGCAGCACCAAGAGGCTTACAGGGTAAGAGTAACATTCTGTTTCTTGAACTGGGTGCTGGTTACACAGTTGCACATGCATGTTGAATTTATGAAAATTCAGTGTGACTGTACACCTGCTATATGTTCACATTGTTGTTGTTGTTATGTGCCGTGGAGTCGGTTCCGACTCATAGCGACCCTGTACAGTATATACGGTCATTAAAAAGTTAAGCATAACTCTCAATGATATGGTCTGTAATTTTGAACACATTTTGATGAATTTAATATGAAGATAAAGAATTATATCAGCACCTCAATCATCACCTAACATTTGAGTGTGTCTCAAAATCCCCTGTTGTTGAGTTGATTCCCATTCATAGTAATCCTATACGATTAGGACAGAGGAGCAGAAGAGCTGCACCTGTAAATCTTCCTGAGACCACGGCCCTTCGCCACGCTTCTGGCCCAGAACTGAATTCACTCCTATGGCTCAATTTTCAGCCAAATAATAAACAGATCTATAAGGGGAACAATACCACTACGGAGGTACACACTCCTGGAGTAATTAATAATCAAAAGGGCAGCGTTGACCAAAGGACAATGTTCAGAAGGAAAGAAAAAGGAGTGGAAACGGGAAACACAGGGAGGGAGTGGGATAAATGATGTTCCAATGTGAAGACTGCAATCAATGAGATGAAACAAAACGTGTGTGAATTGTTGAAAAGAAAACAGATTTCCTCTGTAACCTTTCACCCAATTCACAATAAAAAATGAGAATACAAATCTTTGTGGGAACAAAGTCGACGGTCAGATTTTTCTTCAGTGAAATGGCTGGAGGGTCCAAATAGCCAACCTTTCTATTAGCAGCTAAGCTCTGTAGCCACCAGGCCACCAGGATTCCTTCAACTATACGTACCATACGGTAATGGTGGTAGTGGTGGTGGTGTGCCGTGGAGTTGGTTCTGACTCATAGCAATCCTACAGGGTTTCCGAGGCTATAAATCTTTACAGGAGCAGAAAGCCTCATCTTTCTTCTGCAGAACTGCAGGTATTTTCAAACTGATGACCTTGAGTTTAGCAGCCCGACTTGTAACCACTGCGCTACCAGAGCTGCTTTCACACATGGCTAAATATCGCTGAGTCCTCCTAGACATTCCACAGAGACAGGCACTATTGCTAACTTCATTTTCAGATGAGAAAACCGAGCGTCAGAGAGATAGGTAATGTCTTAGAGCAGATCAGACTCAAGAGACAATCCTATCTCTGGAGACTATATTCTTAAGGGTTTGCTGTACTCAACTGTAGGGGAAGGACAAATTCTGTCTATGTCAAGGTCAAAGAGAAATACTGGTCTTAAAACTTTACTGCATGTAAACGTTACCCACATTCTTTTCCAAACAGAAGAAACACTAGTCTTATCAAGGAATAACAGGCAATAAGCTAGTAAATGAACAAATTCATTTCAACTAAAAAAGTGTCTACAACCAAGACACTTTTTTAGTTGAAATGAATTTTTTCAGATCTGAGAATATACAAACATCATGCTTCTAAACAGTAAGTTCTAAAAAAGTCAGTTGGTAATTCAATTCTGTTCCTTAAGACATTTTAGTGCAGTTATATAAAGTTGTCTTTAAGAAAACATACCATGGCAAAAAAAAGTATCAGAGCGGCTAAATTTTAGGCACTGATATTGATTATGATACATTAACAGGTTATGTCTGAAAACTGGCTAGTGATGTGATATTAACGCACATTTTCATGAATGGAAACAAACAAATGCATTATGTAAAAGTTTCAACAAAGGTAACACAAGGGAAAACAATGCCATAATCAGTTAAAGCATCTGGTAATTTATCCACACGAAATTTACCTCTTTGGAGGGGGAAGCGGGAGATGTGAAAATTGTCATCCAATAGGACCATACAAACATGACAAAGAACAGATGGAAAGCCACAAGGTAGACAACGGCCTTTCCTGGTAAATAAAAACAGATAACATTTCATTGAGTCCAGGTGAAAACAGGATAAAGTCATACATTAAAACACGATTATTAGGTTCAGGAGGCTTAGTCCAACCAGAAATTTCATTAAAACCTGTGAAAACATCACCAATATCAACTCATGTATCTACATGACGTAACATTACTGCTTCTGCATTTAAGGGCCACCGGCTGTCTGACATGAGTTTTAACTTTATTAAGTTCCTAGGGATTTTAAAAGTTAAAACACTTCCTTTACTTTTTCTTACGTCAAACACTCCCTAAAAGTTAGACTTCAAATATGCCCTTAGATTATTTATGATAGAATCCATTATTATACACATTAAAATCCAAACAACTGTCAAAGAAGGAAGTCACGACAGCCATGAATACCGAGTGAATCTGAAGAGCTCAAAATGGTATTTTAAATTCAACATATGCTAACAAGAAATAACTGTTCCCTAAAGGGATTAATAGAACATTGCAACATCTTTCACCTCCAAATGTTAACCACTGATACAACATAATGCTTTCTGTCACATTGTGTGGTTTCCCTATTTAGAAGAAGTGGTCTGATTTCCCCAAGAAGCAAGAATTCTCTACAAGGTGCTGAAGCTCTTCTTCACTTTGGAATGCAACAGCACAAACACACGGAAGGAAACAAAACAAAAGCACAAATGTCTGAAAATTTTACTCACTTGTAAAGTTTTCAGATCAAATGTTCATTCCTCCATGGGCCACTCAATGGGATCATTATCATCTTTGATTCTCTCTTGATCTTTTATCACAGGTACCTTGTTGTTGGCTGTCAATGAGTTGGTGCCAACTCACAGCAACCTTGTGTATATCACAGACTGAAATCCAAGCTCCCTGATCTGACATATTTGAGCCCATTGTTGAGGCTATTGCGTCGTATTGTGGGTACCTTCCAACCTGAGGGTCTCATGCTCCAGCACTATATTGGAAAATTCACCAATGAAAACCTTGTGGATAACACTGGATAATGTTATGTTGTTCTCCACAAGGTTTTCATTGGTTAACCTTCTGAAGCAGAACATCAGGCTGTTTCCTAGTTCGTCTTATTCTAGAAGCCCCACTGAAACCTATCCCCCATGGAGGGCCCTTCTGGGATCTCAAGTGCAGATGACAGAGTTTCTAGCATGACAGCAATATGCAAAGTGTCACAGTATGACAAACTGCACTTAAATCTGGGCAGAACTTACGTCCTCCACTCCCCCTCTTTCCTATGGTCACTAGAATTATTGGGGAAAAGTCCTAAAATGAGGCTGAACTGACGTCCCTTATAAAGCCCAGCACTGAGCACATACTAGAATTTCCCCTTTTCATTAACAAGTCATGGCTCACTCCTAGTTGAATCTCTACCTTATTTCCCTCAGAAACTGTGTTAGGCCTGTCCCTTAATCTTAAACTTCTAATCCCGGCCCTAACTGATCTCTTAGGAAATATCACTTCTGACTTGACTATTAACTTTTCAGATTCCTTTCCTTGCCTTAAGATTTTTCTTCATGTTCACTTAGTTGTCCTTCTCTTAGCCTCCTACTATCTGAGATCAGCCTCACATCAGTGCTTTTCCTTCCAGTTCCTCGCTTCCTCTGCCCTGCACACTGCTGCCATTCACTTAGTGCCTTTGTACCACTTAGCCTTTTCTTCTCCTCTTCTCCACTGGCGCCTTCTCTTCAGCCTACAAACATGCTTTCTTTCAAACAAAGATCTCCTTCAGCCATAACTTCTTCACAAGGTATCCTATTATTTCTCCTTTCCTTTAGACAAAATGTTCCTGAAATAGTATATTCCCTCATTGTTGTTGTTATGTGCCGTGGAGTTGGTTCCGACGTTAAACGATAGATTATGTAGAACAAGTCAAAGGAATGTCATAACAACTCCACTGCTGATGGTCATTTCCAACTCTGCCCCCGTGTGAGACAGAGTAGAACGGTCCCGTTGGGTTTCCAAGGCTGCAATCTTTCTGGAGGCAGACTGCCTCATGTTTCTCCCACTGAGCAGCTGGTAGGTTCAAACCACCAACCTTTTGATCAGCAGTCAAGTGCTTCAGCACTGCACTACCAGGCTCCTTATATAGACCCCAACTTAATTTTTTTTTTGCATCTGACATGGAAGCTCACTCCCACAGCTCCATGGCCCAATAGTAACCTTTTCTCTGACCTCTCTCCAATCATGTTGGACCTTGTACAGATTACAGTTTTCATTTCTCTAGAAATGTCCACAGCCGGAAGCAAAAGACTGATATGCTAAGATAGTAGAATTATGGGTAGTTTTAAGTAAGCTTAAAATGTGCATTTTAAAATGAAATCTTCTAATTAGTAGTATTTGCATTAAAAATGCAAATTTATATTTTTAAAATGTAAAATTTTAGTTGTTGTTAAGTGCCATCAAGTGAGTCTGTTCTGACTCATGGTGACCCTGTATAGGGTTTCTGAGGAGCAGCTGGTGGTCGTCAGGGTTAATGGGAATGACTATAAAGGGTGAATCATTGTATCGAATGCTGTGTGGATAGAATAAGAATGTAGACTAAAAGATAACAAATGGCCTTTGCCACATCTGTTTTAATGGATTATTAAAAACGGAACCAGATTACAAGGAGAGTAATGTGCTGCTAGGAGTTTCTGGGTGATGCAAACAGTTAATACGCTTGGCTATTAACCAAAGGGTTGATGGTTTGAGTCCACCTGGTGGGACCTCACAAGAAAGGCCTGATGATCTCTTTCTAAGATCCCAACCCCTGAAAACCCTCTGAAGCCCAGTTCCACTCGGGGCACACATGGGTTGCCAGGAATTGGATTCAGCTTGACAACAACAGGTTTAATTTGGTGGTAAGTAATGACTCAAACCTAAGGTCAAATCAGTTCACCATTTCCCGGTATCTTTCCTCACAAGTGAAAGTGAGGAAAAAGTGACTAAGGATTATTAGAAAATGCTAAAATGTAAAGGGGAACGCCAGCCTCTCCCTTTTATTTTTCCTTTGGCAAAGTCTGTTGGAGGCTCAGTCCCCACTGCTCTCCTGTTGCCATGCCAACATGGAGGTGGGTCTGCAACAGGACCTTCAACCCAGCTCACTTCCGTTCTAGCTTAGTCCCTAGCTTCAGTCAAGTTTGCAATCTCATCTATACTCTCGTGTAGCTCTGAGATAAATGATCACCTTGAGCTACTTTACACTTCTTAATCATTTAACTATTGACATCAAAGGCTACAGTGTGCTGGAGAAAGATGAGGCTTTCTGTTCCCATGAAGATTTTAAAGCTTCGGAAATCCTATGCAGGGTCACTGTGAGTCGAAACCAACTCAAAGGCACTTAACAACAAGGCCAGGATGTAAAACAGTATACTCTAAGAATATTTTTGAAATATTTAATACGTTTTTACAATCATTTTGTTTTCTATGAAAATAAAAACAAAATACCTTTAAAATACCTTGACTCTCAGGTCAACAAAGAAAATAAGTAAAATTAAGCTCTTACAACAACGTTGCAAACATAGTAAGTACTTGTTGTTGTTAAGTGCTGTCGAGTCGATTGCGACCCATAGCGATCCTGTATAGGATTTCCAAGGAGCGGCTGGTAAGCTTCAACCACCGACCTTGCAGTTCAAATGACTTTGCAGTCTGATGCATTAGCCCACAGCGCCACACCAGGTGGTTAATCATTATTTGGAGTCCTGGTGTTGCGCTGTGAGTTAATACGCTGGACTGCAAAGTTATCTGAAATGCAAGATTGGCAGTTCAAGCTCACTAGCCACTCCTCGGAAACGCTATACAGGGTCGCTATGGGTCGGAATCAACTTGACAGCACTTAACGACAACAATCAATACATTTAACTTAGCCAAGAGTAATAGAAGAGACATTGCTTTTAACCAAGTTTAAAATAATATGATTGCTAATTGGCAAACTTTCTGATTATCCAGACATGCTATATATTATGGGTTATACAAGTAATATTGAAAAACTTAATCTTAAACCATCTACACTGCAAATCAGAAAGAAGAAAATAACCCATACGTACATATAAATCAAAAAGTCTGCATTTAAACATCACTTAACAATACTTCTGTAAGAAACAAACAAGCAAACACAAAAGCCTTCATCAAACAAATCTCTGAAACAGCATGGTAAAAAGAGATAATAATATTAACTGCTCTGAAAGGGATCACAACAAAAGGTCCTGGATAGAGTGGGAGATAATGTGAAACAAAACTATACAAAAATTATATAGCAACTGGGTTTACTGGTCAGAAAGAGATTGGAGGAATCCGAGACTATGGCCTTGGCCACGCTGCACGTCTGGAACAGAACTCAGCAAGTGGTGGCTAGGCATAGAGGAGGCACAACAACACTAGTGAGGTAGGTTCACCATGGAATGAATGGTCAACCATTCAAGATCAAATGGGCACCATTTACCTGGAGACAAGGTTACGAAGGGTAGGGAAGGAGAGCGGAATGAAAATAGGACCCGCAGGGAGGAAGTGGACTAAAACACTGTTCCATGGAGGGGGTTGCAATCATTGAGATGACACAAAGTGTGTGATTTGTTGGCTGTACAACTGATGCTCTACTCTGTAAACCTTCACTCACTTCACAATGACAAGTTTATAAAACAAGAGAGAGACAATGATAGAAGGTACAAAAAATTAACTGTCATCAAATTCATTCCATCTCAAGGCAACTTGAGAGTTACATGCTTACTGCTTATTTATCTCCAACAACAGGGATAAATACTCAGTTATATTTTCCAACTCTTTTAGAAATTCTCTGGATTTTTGTATATAAAATTGGGTTTTATATTTTAAATCCAATCTCAACAGACGTCTAAAATTTCTTTTTATACATGTGGAAGAGAAGAATTTCCTTCTAGGCATAAGCTTTTTTTGACTAAATTGTTGTAAAATCTTTAATTCCCTTTCCAAATGAACAGTACAACTTACATATTATGGTTATTTTATTTAATGCTGTAATTAGTAAAGTGTTACTTTAAACAAATGTAAAAGCAGGAATCAATAAAATGTGCACATCCTGGAAATATATATGCATGAATGATTTAACCACATTAAACTGTTAAGGTTTTCTAAGAAAAACAATCCCTTCCCTCTAATATATGCGAAGCCACTACGAATTACTATAAGGAGACCTGAAGTGTGTAAAACACAGAAATTGTGACAGATACATCACAAAATAATTGCTATTTCAATTTACAAAAAACACAATAAGAATACATGCGTTGTATGAAAATAAAAGTAATACTACTTCTTTCAATGATTTAAATTTTAAAGATAGGTATTTTCTTCCTGAAAAACAAAAATACAGGCACTGATGAATAAATTAAAAGTATGTGGGTGGCAATTGTTGTTATTATTAAGTACCGTTGAGTTGCTTCGGACCCATAGCGACCCTATATAGGGTTTCCGAGGATCAATTGGTTTGCTTGAACAGCTGACCTTGCAATTCAAATGGCTTTGCAGGCCGGCGCATTAACCCACAGCGCCACACCAGGACTCCTAGGACACCATAAATAACCCATGAAAAAGGAGACTAAAAGAGCCTTACCGTTTTCTCCAGTTCCAGAAATCGTAACTAGAAGAAAAATAAAGAACATATTTTATATATTTTTAAAGTTTCAGATTGAGTATACATCTTCATTCGTTTTACATAACAAGAAATTTTCTTAGTTATAAAATGTAAACACTAGTGTAAACTCCCCCCAAAATATCCACAATGGAAACAAAGAAACTTCAAAACACTAAATTGTTAACATTCAAACTCTTATTTATCATTAACACTACATCACAGCTGACTTTTCTTTTGGACCTTCCTTAATGTTAAAAGTATCAATATGGTCAGAGGCGTGCTGTTTCTTTTCGCTCTTTTCTTAGTGCTACTAAAAGAATCCACAGGACTCTCTTCTATGGCATTCATAGTTATTTAATGAGTTTGTGATGTATATTACCAACCACTTTATTAAAAACCTACTAAAAAGCTACAGTAATGAAAATAGTCTGATACTGTTATAAAGACAGACCTATACAGCAGTAGAGTAGAATTTACGGACCAAAACTAGACCTCTACATCTATGTTCAGCTGATTGTTGACAAGGATGCTGAGTCTATTCAACAGGAAAAGAAGAGTCTGTTCCATAAACGATGTGGGCACAATTAGAACTCCACAAAAGAAGCTGGACCCGCACCTCACGTACAGTATAAACATGAATTCAAATTGGGCAAATGGCCTCAATGTAAGAATTAAAGCCGTAAGACTCTTAGAAAAATCAGAGGTTAATTAATACTTCAGGATCTACTTTTTGACAACGGATTCATCGATACAAAATAAAACAGAGAAATTAGACTTCATCAAAATGGAAAACTTTTGTTCATCAAAGGATTTCTATCAGCAAAGTGAAGAAACAACCTATAAGATAGAGAAGATATGAGTTAGTTCCGACTCATAGCGACCCTGGGGAGCAGCTGGTGGGTTTGAACTGCCGACCTTGAGATCCAGTGCATTATCATTTAGCGCCACACCAGGACTCCTAGTATTCATTAAGAAAAGTGCAAATCAAGATGATGCTTACTGCTGAAAATTCCATACAGCGTTTTGTTAAAGAGACTCCTGGTGTGGTGATGTAGAATCAGCACTGGACAGCAAACCACAAAGTCAGCAGTTCATACCCACCAGCTGCTTCTCAGAAACTTTACCCAGGATCACTGTGAGTCGGAACTGACTCCATAGCACTTAACAACAGAGGACCATGAGAACTGCATGAAATGTAGTTGTCAAATAGTGAAGAATCAAATTAGTGAATGAGATCCTTTGTTGAGTAAAAAAGAAAGAGGGAAAATGTGAACCCCAAACACAGTGAGATACCAGTAGGATGGCTATGACCAGAAAACAAAACCAAAAGTACTGGTGAGGATGTGCAGACACTGGAACAACCCTCACCCGTTATTGGTGAGATGGTTACATGCTGTAGGCACCGTGGAGAAGTCTGGCAGGTCATCTTTTTTTCTAATAATTTTTTTTTATTTGAATTGAGTGATAGTTTACATGGGAGAACATTAGTTTTACACTCATCATTTCATTGCAATGATTACAATCTACAATCTCCTCTGTGCATCATCATTCAACAATATTTGCTTCTATTCCCTCTGTTTTTTTTTTTTCAGGGGATGTACACAAAACCATTCAGGAATATAAAATAATTTACACCACCAAAGGGCATAAGGGTACATTCTGCAAGCCTGCCTCCTGGCCACCAGCACTCAGTCCCTCTCTTCCCATTAATTTAGAGTCCTCAGCCGCTCCCTCTCTCCTCCTCATCTCTAGTGTCACTGCTTCTCTGGATAGGGTCTCCTGCATTGCGCCTGTGCTCTTCGCCCTTGCTGGTCCTAGGGTCCTCTGTTCCTGGACTGGCAATTCCTCATCTTTTGATAAATATAGAATTTCCATATTGACCCAATAATTCTACTGCTAGGTTTATACCCAAGAAAAATAAGCAAAAATGCAAATAAACACTTGAACACCAATGCTCACTGTAGCTCTATCCTACAGTAATTCCCACAGTGGGAACCGTGGAAATGCCCATCAACAGATGAGGTGTTAAATCAAATGTGCTCCATACATACAATGGAAAATTACTTAGTGATAGAGTGATGAAATCCTTATGCATGGATGAACCCTGAAACATTACACTGAGTGAAATAACAGTCACAAAATGACATATATGATATCATTTATAGGAAATATCTGAAGTAGGCAGATGTATGGAGATCCCAGGGTTTTAGTGGTTATGAAGGGTGGGAGGTAGAAGGAAAGAGGAAACTGCGGCTTCAGGGCACTGAATTTCTGTTAAGAGTAATGGAAAAATCTGTAAACGGAGGTGGTGGTTGCACAAGATAATGAATGTAGCTGGTGCCAACGAATATGTAAGAAATGTTGCAATTGTAAATGTTTTCTTTGTATATGTTTTTACGTCAATTCAAAAACAAAAAACCTAGAACATATCCAATTATTTTTAGTGCATTCACTCTAAACACTCAAATATGCAAAGTGAAGTTAATTCCTTGTCTGCCTCTCTTACATTTTCTTCCACCTTAATATTATCTTGCTGAACAGAACCAACAGCCACTTTAGCCTCCTCAGCCTGAAACCCCGAAGACTGCGAGTTACCCCTTCCTCTCTGCAGATACTCCAATGGCAACTAGATTCTATTGGTTCTGCCACCTAACATCTCTTTCTTTCAAATCCATCATCTCTTTTCAGTCCCTACCATGACATTTCACACCTTCATCTTTGGGCCCCATTTTAAGGGCAGCTCCACGCTCCAGTACCGAGTTGGTAAAGAAACTTAGGAAAGTGGCCCTCCCCTTAGAAGCCCCAGAGATCAGGGTTCCTCCGCCCTTTTGAGACTGAGGTAGCTCTACTTCCCAATGCTCCTTATCTCATTCACTTCTGCTTCCTGGACGTCTAGAAGAGGCCAGTCTGGTCTCGGCTCCGCAGGAGCATGGGTTACAAAGCCTTTCAGCTCTCCTGACAAGTGCCCAGAGGTACCTCACTGTACCAGTAAGCCTTGGCCAGAGGGCACTTGGCTCTCTTGCTCCATGGGATAGCTTCAGGGACAGCTTGTGTTGGTCTCCTAGTTCTGCTGCTGCAATTTCTCTGCCACTCCTTCCTTCTCGCTGTCTGTGCCATGTGAGCATGTAACCGATGTTACAGCTAAGCAGGGTTGCAGCTCTCTTCATTTCCTTCAGGGCCCTCAGAATTGCTTCTGACATCCACCTTACCAGCAGTCTCTTCTAAGTCATCTAGGCTTTACTATTAGGCAGTTTAGTACTCCTCATTTCAACCCACCTCAGGTCACTCGGGTGGGGCTCAGGGTGCTTAAACCCTAGATTGGTTACCTTTGTCCTCAAATGGCTCAGAAACCCAATACAGGGTCACTATGGGTTGGAACCGACTCGACGGCACTTAACAACAAACTAAATATAATATAAATTAGCTACGGGTGACATGATCTGAAAATTATTGGGAAAGACCACAGCAGCCACACAGTTATAGAAAACAAACAAATACATGAGATTTTATACTGAGGGGATTACAACTACTGAGATGACACTAAGTATATGATTTGTTGAATGTACAAAACTGATGATCTCTGTAAACCTTCACTCAATTTACAATAAAAATTGAAAAAGAAAAAAATCTAGAAATAAACACATACATGACATGAAAAGTTGGAAAGGCAAATGCATGCCTGTTTGTACATTATATGACTACATGTGTGGATAGCCAAAGAAAAGCAATGGAAAAAGACCCTATGTCAACAAAAGACATCAGTAAGTTGGTAGTGTACAAAAACTGATACATACAAAATGAATCAATTTCCTCATCTACATGCAACCACTGTAAAAGTCATTGAAGCAAAGATTTTGCTTACTTCCACAGCCGCCTAAAAAGATTCCTGGGTATAAAGTCCTAGGTAAGGAGCTCTGGCTGCAAACCTTAAGGTCAGCGGTTCGAAACTACCAGCTGCTCTGCGGGAGAAAGATGAGGCTTTCTGCTCCCATAAAGATTTACAGTCTCGGAAACCCTGTACAGGGTCGCTATGAGTTGGAACCGACTCCACGATACTTAACAGCAACAACATGGCGCATGCAGGAGACTTGTAATCCTTGCAATGAAACAAAATACGATTGGTTGAGTGCAAAACTCATGTTCTGCCATGTAAACGATCACTCAATTCATAATAAAAGCTTTTAGGGGGAAAAAAGTGGGTTTGGGGTCACTTTCCTCCAGCTAGTCCTCACAGAAACCTTCCATGGTCACTCCTTACCCCTGCTTTCCATAGGCCTGGCATGCGACGTGATACAATTGATGTCAGTGGCAGGAAATCCCTTTGTTCCCTTCATAAAAGGTCACCCTGTGGCGGTGGAACTTTGGAAAGTCATCCCTCGTCTGGGTGATGTATGTTTTGTCTTTGTCTTGTGTTTTTACTCTAACATTTTAGAATTAATAAAGAGTCTCTATAGTATTTATCTTTAAATTTTTATTTAGTCTTGGTGTAGCACTGCAGGATAATGCACTGGGTCGCAAGATCTGTTTGAACTGCAAGGTCAGTGGTTCAACCTCCCCCCACCTCCACCACTCCTTAGAAGCCTTAAGATAGGGTCGCTATGAGTTGGAACCAACTCAACGTGACTCAACAACAGTAACAACAACATAATATTTATGTATTTGAAGACAGGGTCTCTTTTCTCCCCTGTAACAAATGTTGTAGTGATTGTCAAGATTTCAAGTATCTTGCTTGGTGAGATCTCTGGGGGCCCAGGGTACAGTTATTGTTAAGTGCCATCGAGTTGGCTCTGGCGCATAGCCATCTTGTATAAGGTTTCCGAGGCTGTTAAAATCTTTGCGGATGCAGAAACCCTTATCTTTCTCCTGCAGAGCCACTGGCGGGCATGCAGAAACAGCAGCCCTTGTGATTTGCAGTCCAGTGCTTATCGTATGGAGCCACCATGGACCATGGGACCTCAGCCCCACTGCACTCCAGTACCCTGGGAGAAATCTGCAAGGTAAGCACT